TCTACCACTTGTAGGACTTCAAGCATAAAACACAAATCAGCAAATGCAAAACACAGTATCACTCCCTTGGAATTTTCTGAAGACGATTTGAAATGTAAAACAACTTCCCATTAATATACAAGTTGAAGTCCCTCTCTCCTTCGTCTCATGGCACTGAAGAAAATGTAGTCAGTTGCCAACAGCTACAGCTACAGCAGCATTCACAGGTCTATCGGATGTAGTATCCATGACTGACATTTTTTTCACTGTCATCTCCAAAAAATGCAATTCAGCTGCAGCCAGGCCTATGCAGTCCCATCTCCGCCTGAGCTGGTTCCCAGCAGTTCCTGCACTGGATGTGGATTCTCATTATATAACAGACTCAAGCAAGGGTGAAACAACTGCTTTTTACAGAACAGGCCATGAGTGAGTCAACATGAAAGGCAAACCTAGCTCAAAAGCAGAGACCACATGTGTCACTGCTACACAGCAGGCGATTCCCTAAAGCTCTGCACACTGAGTGGCCTGGAAGCTGTAGCTCCACAGTAATGTGGTTTTCCTGCTTTCCGTCTCAACAGAACTACAATGGGCTAAAGATACAGAACTGTGATAAGAAATGAGTAGGCAAATGAAAGACAAGCATAAAAAAATGCAAAAAGTTCTTTAAGCATTCTGGCTGAATATCTCCGGGGGAAAACAAAACAAAACAAAACAAAACAAAATAAACCTCCCAAAAAACCCAAAATGACAGAACCAGATACAAACAAGACTTTTTTTCTTCTTTAGTCATGACACATTTTAATGAGGTTTGAAATGAGCATAGGAAGACAGAGTAAGATAACAAGGTTATCTGCAACTCTGAATCTTCACACTATTTATGATGCTAAATTTGCAGTGTATGCTGCTCACTTACATTTCCACAAAGTAGCATAATAAAAGAACAACTAGATGGTGGCAATTTTGCCTCTAAACCAGCCTTTCTGAAAAAATATATACAGTCCTCTGGGTTCTGATATTCTTTTTACCTCTGCAGAATAATGTCCCTTTTGTATTTTATCCCTTCTTTGTTCAAAGATAAAGAGAATGTATGTACATCCAGACTCCTACTCCCCTAAGTGATATGACTCATTCACACGAGCATCTGTACCCCTTAAGAGACTGTCAGTGCCTTTTCCTCTTAACTCATTAATTTTACTTTTCTGTTATACTGAAGAACTGCTAATAAAGTAACTTTTCTCAATTGATATTCCATCTCCTCTATGTCCCTGCAGGCACCTCTTCCTCTTCAGGACTTAAAGTACGATGTGTTGAACTCTCCCCACAGTTGGCATGATGGAGGCATATATCTTCTTACATTCACTCCATCTTCTTGAAATATCATCTGTTTTGCAGACTGCAAATTGGGACTAATGGCAGGCAGCAGTGTCTGCAACAGTAAGAAGTTTTAAATACTTGCTACTATCATCCAACTTACACCTGCTGCTGCTGCAGTATAGCTATAAACTGGCTAACTACTTTCTAAGGGAATTTTTCCATAAAGCTCTCAGCTCTAGTTACTTCATAAAATCATTTGACTTTTAAATAACTCTCCTCTGTGTTCCTGAGTTAATCTTAGGAGCAGCCTTTAAGCCATGGAAAACTAGAAAAATTTATTTTGCCAATTTCATGATAGCATTAATATGTTAAAATAAAACCCAAAAAACCATGAAGACATAAAAAGGAGAGCTTCTTTTCAAGACATTTTCTTTCTCTGCTACTGTCACAAAGTCATTAACAATTAAGTTTTCTGGCCTTTTAATGTGAGGCCTTTTAATACATTAACATTTTAATACATTAACAGCAGAAGAGCGTTAAGTCCATCTTGTTTGAAAAAAGCTGGTATATTGACTGAGTTTACACTGGTATGAATTGTTATCCCTAAATCTTTTCCATGTTTATTAAAAATTTCAGCTTTTTTATAGGTGAGGAACAAGATAACTAATACAAATATTAGTTGATTTAACAATAAATGAAGCTTGCAATCAGTGACATACATACTTCAGAAGTTCCCTTGGCCGTTTCAGAGGAGGTGTAACGGTAGATAATATTATATTACTCAAAACATGACACAAGTAATTGTAAGATTAACTGGAAACTTGAGTTCTCTAATCTCTGCTGAATGGAAAACATCCCATTTGCCTCACTAGTCTTTGATCAGTATGTCTGTGTTTGCAGAGACTCATAGGACAACATAAAAGCAAGTAAAAGTTCCTATTTTAAGGAGTTTCTTTAGTGTTTCTGACACTTGTGAAACAAAGTGAGTACTAAATATTGATAATCATGTCATTTTAAAGAGAAATAGGTAGGGTTTTTTATGTATTACTCACCTCAATTAATCAGGAGAGTAGTGCAGTGTGTAGTGATTCTTTTCTATTGAAAGTCATTTAAAGGTTTAACAACTAAAGGTTCAGAAACTACACATATAATAGCATGAATCATCTTAGCACAACTTTAAAATACTCCTTTCTTTGAAATCACAGTTTTCATTAAAAAATAAGGCTATAAGCTACTTACTGAATATTATGGGTATAAAAAAAAATGTAAACTGTGCTGATGGGATGTGTCTGATTAATGAAAACGAGGTGAATTTAGACTAATAGTTACTGCCTGTGTCATTGTGGCACAATCCTGGTGAAGGATAAGCAGGGTAAGTGTCAGTAGTAGCTGGGACATGTTAGTGCAGACACGTTAGAGCTCCATTCTTTTAGGGGCTGTAGAAAACATCTGTGGCAGTATCTCTCTCATGAAGGCTTTCCAGACCGCCAGCTGAGAAAAGAGGGATGTATTACTATATTTTTGGGAAAAAGAAGCGTTTGAAGATGAAGGCTAAAATTCATTAATGGCCTCAGATCATATTTGCGATGAGGAAAGAATCCGGCAGAGATCCTTCCCCTATAGCAGTGCTGGCTCCCAACTGTAAGTGCTAGGGTCAGGAGAGGTCAAATTCATTACCATCCATTGATGTGGCTCTTTTGCTTTTGGGTTCTCAGCAGGGGAAACTCATCCCACTCTTGCTGAGCCTAGATCTGGGTGATTTGGGCTGGCCAAGATCTCCGTCAGCTCCTCTGGTATTTGGGGAGGTTGAGAAAACATAAGCAGATTGAAGAGACAGACAAGTCAGATATCAAAATATTACCTTACACAGACTACTGGTTGATGTAAAAGATACATTATTGGGCTTTTCATTGAGGTACAACATACAATTCCTAGGAAGTTATTAAACAGTAGCTTTTTATCTCCACTTCTAACTTGCACAAAGATATGCATCTTTTCTATGTGTAGTACTTGTGCTCTATACCACAGACCCGGGAATCTTAAAAAAATCACCATCACGTAGCTTACAGGAAAGAGAAGGTAAGCTGACTTGACAGACACACAACATATTGAATCTTCAATTTTGTAAATGTAGACCAAAATTTATATCAGCCCAGGTGTGCTGGAGCCACTAATGAAAACTGAAGTTACAGCCAATTATCCCTTTTTTTCTATCAGGAAGAATGACCAGTTTGGAACAAAAGCACGGGAGAGAAAAGCAAATGAAGAGAGAGAGAGTGTGTGTGTGTGTGTGTGTGTGTGTGTGTGTGTGTGTGTGTGTGTAAGAGTCTCCCAAACTCTCAAACTCTCTAGTGCCTTTACAGAGCATTACAGCTATCAGCTATTTACCCTCAGAAAAGGAGCTGTCAAGTAAATGCCTTCCTATTCACATCACATGGTACGTAAAGATCCTGAGCTGATCCATACCTCATGACTGAGGTATTGCAGGTCTCTTCCCTGCAATCAGTGTCCATTAAAAACTGATTTTGTACTACTGACAATCTGATGGTACTAAAATAAAATCTCCTAGACCCCCTGGTAATGAAAAATTATCTACATGAAAGGAAGAAAGTACAAAAAGGATTTCAGACTCCTTTAAAATTGTAACAACTTTTTTTCTCCAGTAAGTCAATAGTCATTCTTTTTATTTTTGCTTTCATTAAGAATACTTCAAAGCATTTTGACACGCTCTATCACAGTGGACCAGACTAGTTACTTCTGAATAAGTTAAAATGTCTTGTCACTGGAGTGTGGAATAGAAGACAGTCAAAATGAAATCAGGTTGAAGTGTCATTCACCTTATTGAATCAAGTGCTAACAGAATATTGACAGAGCAAAATATCCTCTTCTATAACCTCTGACCTTTTTAGATTTTCATTTTGGGAAAGAGAACTGGAAAGATCCATATCTTCTGGGTAGCAAATATTCAGAGACATAGATGCTTTTATGTGGTGGTATCTGCACAGAAATATAACAGATATTCTCTTGCTTGCTTTGGCCAGGACACAGCTGTTAAGACTTATGCTGTTCCATTGCCCTTGGTCTAGTGAAGATGTAGTACAAGCCTGGCTAGTAAAAGTTAGAGTCAAATAGTTCTTCCCTAATGTAGCAGTTTCTTAATAATTTTGCTGCATCAACCTATGAACAAAACATCTGTCAGTTTCTTATAATTATCACTTTCCTTACATTTGTAACTCTGCTCTAGTTTTCTATTTCCATGTTTTAAACTTTTATTCTGAGGTCCATTTAAACATGGAACAGTTAACCGAATTTACATAATCCCATCTTATCACATTTAAATTTCAAATTAATGATAATTACTGAGTAAAAGAGGTAGACTTTCTCCTCCTAAAAAATTAAAGAACCATGATTCCTTAAAAGCATCATGAACTTCAAAAGGAGAAAAAACCCAATAATAATTAAAAAATCCCATCTCCTTCTACTCCTTGTCTCTAGTATTTTAATGATGAAAATACAGTTTCCCTCCAACTTAGAGCATTGGTGCTGGAGGAGTTGGAAACAATATCCTGCTTTCAGTTATCAGAGACTTGTTCTCAGATATAGCTCATTTGATATAATTATAAATTGAAAATGTGGAAGCAAGTTGCTTACAATCTGCCGAGAAACAAAACAGGGGCACATTTTTAAGAACATAAAGGACTTTTCACCTTATGTGAAGATCAGGAAGATCCCGTGTGCTCAGTGGCAGAGGTAGGGGAGGCAGAAATCACATTGTTCACCCATGGGCAGCACACCTGAGGATTACAAACATAAGACATGAGCTGAGAGTTAAAAGGATGTTTGAATTTCAGCAAGTACTCTAGCTCAGGAGGCTAAACAGTGGATAGTGGAAAGTACAATTGATTTCTTTTTCAGGAAATAGCCAGTCTGATTCAAGGGATGAAGCCACCAGCAGCCAGCGCAGGAATTCATGCAGGAATTCAGAAAGATGCTGAGAATCTGTGAAACAAGGACATTTTAGCAATTGTGGGGAAATTTCTCCTGAGCTAAAATAGCCTTATGAATTTATTTCAGAAAAAAAAGTTGCTGAGAGATACCCTGAATCAGATTTTAAATTTACTGAACAAAGGCACCCAGAGGCACCTATCTGGCAACATCTGGTTCAGTTCTGAAGGAAGGGAAGGCCATGCAGCTGAGATGGGTATGCTATTTTGCTTTGTGCTAAATGCAACTGACCTTAGGCAGGGTGGATTGTGATTCAGAATAAGAGCCTTCAGTTTTAGAAGGATTCTGACCACTGCAGAAATCATTTAAATTCATACTCTTGCTGTCTTCACAAATTTGATGCCTTTGAAGCTTGAAAAATCTTGCTCCTTGTAGGTTAAAAATACAGATGACAAACAGAAATCTCATGGAACTAGTAAACTTCAACAAGGAAAAAGAAGTATCCAACTGGTATAAAAACCATGAACCAACATGATTAAACAGTAAAAACTGAGGAAACAAAGTACCTTTGACAAGTTCCGTAATTCCATGCACCATATCACCTTTCATTTCATTTAACGAATAACACGTAAACACAAAAATATCTTTTATGTCATTGGTTCAAGTCACTGTTATACTGTTTATATTTAATTTTCTCTAGAAGACAGGAAATGTTAGCTCATTATCTCAAAAGTTATTCCACATTAAATCCCATAATACATAAGTCCAAATTTGATGCCTGTATTATTTAAAGAGTCTTTTGTACGTTCCTCACTGAGGCAAAATGCATACATTTATCACTTTAAAACAAAGGTCTTTGAGGTATATATCACTATAGTTAGAAGAATATATAAAATTTGAAATTTTGGAAGATGGTTGCCGATGTTGCAGCACTGCTTCTCAACTGCAGTGCTGGCACAGCATGGACTACAGCCTGGTCAAGATGCACTACACAAAGCAACCATTTCTTTTCAGATGTTTAGAAGCCAGGCTCTTTTTTAAACTTCTCTTCCTTTCTGAACCATCATCAGTTCACTGCCTTGTTTCTAAATAAGCACCCACCAGCTTATACATTCAGATACACAGTCGCAGATGGTTCAGAGACCAATCTGTAATTTACCATAAGAAAGCTGAGCTGATTTAATAATGACCACTACAAAATATAAGTACAACCCACACTGAGTGGATTAAGGAATGGCCAACTGACAGCCCTCAAAAGCATCTGTCAGTGAGGAAACAGTCACAGAACAAGGATTTTTTTCTCATACCTATATGTAGGCTTTTCAATGCATCTCTTAGAAAAAAAAAATCACTCCTGGTATTATTTGGGAATATTTCAAAGCTGAAACCTGCACCTGAAAAAGGTCTAAGGGGGTAGAACTGAAATGTTAAACCTAATTTATGATACAAAACCCTAATCTTGCTAGGCTTAAAGAAAATCTCACCCTGGAGCTTTCCAAGTTGCATTTTAACTTCAAAGTTTCCAAGATTCGAAAAATCTACCCTTTTCCAAAATGGCCCCTTTCTAACTACTCTGATATCTACTTTTTACTTCAGACTACTCAAGTTCTAGAAGTCAGCACAGTTAAGACACACAGAGCAACTACAAAAGCACACTCATAAAATGTAGTTACTGCTACCCATTTATGCAAAACTGATTAAAAATTCTTTAATGCTATATGCCAGAGTTGCTCAACACCACATGTAAAGAAAAATTTGAACTTTTAATGATTTGGTATAATAAATACCTGAGAGATTTGTCTGATATAAGTCTATCTCAATGATTACTTGCAGTGTGACTTGTTTAGAGGTTTACTTTAAGTAAGGTGACATTTTAGCATTACATACTGGGTTTTATTTTTGATAGCTGTGCAGTTCTGTTTCACTTGCTGGAATTGAGCAAATGTGATTTCTCATCCTATTTGTGGTTTTGTTTTTGTTTTTTTTTTTTACTTCCAAAAGTCTCTCATACATACACTGGTAAAAGGTTGCAAAGCAATACTACCTAATTCCATGGTAGCAAAGCCTCAGATACATCTAATTTGTTTTCAGAGAAAATTTGCTTTGCTCTTCTCCTCCATAAAGGACAAATAGCATCACATACAAACTAATTCTGGGCACATTTTGCTGTTTATCATACTACTGACCTTCAGAAATGGATGTTTGGTTTCATATAATTACTACATAAGGTTTTCTTTTTTCCTATGATTATATTGAAGTTTTATTTGAAGTATCTGAATGTAAGCCATTGACAGAACACATTCTCCGTAACGATATATTCTTTTTCAATAAGCCTATATCTATATCTTCCCATTTTTTATTTTTGTGTCTGGTATCTCCCTTAAATAAGGAAAGGTTAACCAGTTATTGATATGTCTTTGCATCTTTCATAGGAAAAAACAGATGTATAATATATAATTTTTATTTTTGTCACAAAAACTGTTCTTCATCAAGGATGCAATAGAGACGTTAAAAGTTTGATTTACTGCTTATCATTAACCTAAGGATCATAGGTACTTGTGATTTTCCTCAGAAATTCTGAAACTGCAGCTAATGAGTATTTTAAGTTCAATTTTTTTCATGATTAATAAAATTAAACAAAACTACCCCAAATCAGGCTTAGAAGCAGAAATTAAGGCAGTCTTATTACTTATGTCAGGGAGAAAAAAAACCCCAAATATATAGTGAAGAGGTCAGAGATAAGAAATCATACAATCGTAGAAATGTTAGGGCTGGAAGGGACCTTAAACATAATCTAGTTCCAATACCCCTGCCATTTGCAGGAAAGCAATTGTCTAGATCAGGTTGCTCAAGGCCCTATCCAACCTGGCCTTGAACACTTCCAGGGACTGTGTGTCCACAACTTCTAGATTGTCTGTCTTCCCTTGTCAGCCGTTGACTTTGTTCCATCACAGAAGGCCGCCAGATTTCTCAGACACAATTTGCCATTAGTAAAGCTGTGCTGGTTGCCTCGGATCATCTCCTTGTCTTTTATGTGCCTTAGCACATAAAAGATCCTCTTCTAGGAGGATCTGCTTTTCCCAGGCACAGAGGCGAAGTTCACTGATGTTCCTTTCTTCCCTTTTTAAAAATGGGAGTGATGTTACCCTGTAGAGCACAATGTTTATTAAGCATTTCACAAATGCTTCCCTTATAGTTGTTCCGTTCCATCAAGGACTATATATATCCTACCAAAAGTGTTGCATATGCTTAATATTGCATATATGTTAAATTTTTGCTGAATGGGTTAACGATTGCAATGTCTGTCTTCAGATTCTATATAACTATAAAACAAAAATAATAGAGCAAAAGTTTATAACAAAGGTAAGATGGAAATAATTTGTAATTCACAGTGTTAAAAGCAGCACAGACAGCAATACTGAGAGCAAGTTCTTACAGGATTTTGCAAATAGGTCACAGTTTGATACAACTAAAGTAATCTCTGTTCTGTGCCTGAGGCTGAACTCTGATGGTTTAGTGTCTTGTTCAAACTTGATGCCTACTACTTGGGAACTAGAAGCCTGAGCTAAAAGACTTTTGGCGTGTTCTATTAGTTTCTTCAGAATTCAGTGAAGAAATCTATTTTCTGACCAGATTTCTTCTAATTTGAAATGGCAAAGTTTTTTCTTTATTGCCAGAAATAACATTGATTAGTTTCAAAAGTTTTGACAGATGCTTTTCAAGATTTCTTAACCTGTAGTAAATTGAAAAGGAGACAAGGGGAGTAATCAAAATACGTGCTTATTTTGCACCTGGTTCAATATGTGATGAGAGGATTTCATAGTTCCCCCACACTTAAGAGCAGTCAGTGCTTAGTTTTGGTGGCTGATTTATGTAAAAGAACTCTGCAACATGTGATGTTGCCATTCTTGCTGGCAAAGGGTAGAAAGCAGTCTAATCCTGTAAATCGCATTTGTCATTTATAGCGGTAGGATTATTCTGACCATACGTCAGACTTGAAATTGTTGTCCAAATCCTCGTTCTCTTTTGGCCCTATTTTGGGGAACAGGATGTCTCTAGCCACTAGCAACCGTGAGCTACAGATGACTCTATGGTTATTTCTAACTCACAAATGTTTCAGTGATGCATTTGGATACATGGTATCTCACCTACTATAACAGACAAGCAAAGGACAGAGATGAGAGGCTCTCAGCCTCAGAGCAGGGAGTCCAAAGCTCTGAAAACTGTCTGCAATGCTATCAATATTAAAGCCTGCATTTTAATCATTTAAGCAGTGAATATGGCTTTCCAAGCTCTGCTTCAGGGAAGTACAGCCAAGTCCCAGTCTAGGAATGGTGCACATTTGTCAGACTCAAATATTTCCGCCAAGCATTTTTTTGTTTTGTTCTGTTCACAACAGCACCTAAGAAAAAGGGGTTGGGGTTCAGTTCACAGAAGACGATAAATAAACACAGATGATGATGTGAGCAGTGTCAAAACTCCAGTTACAATGAAGACTTACTCAGCACATTACTAGTGAAAAAAACCCCAGTATTTATTTCAGGGTGAATTGAGCTGTTCTCCTGACCATCTTGCCTAGATCTCCATCTCTTACCAAGGGAGTGTAGACACTTGGAGGCAGATAGCTAAGCTCAGATGTTTCAATCCTTCCCCTCCCAGTTTTCCCCAAGAAACAGAAAGGAAACAGCTATAAAGAAATGTCCATGGTACAAAACTACTGCAAGCCAGTCTGATGTCTCTGAGACAAGCTGCTCTCAACAGCAATAAAACTGCAATCCTCATCATTGCTCAATCAGCAGGCCTAGTCCATAGCCCTAACCTTGGAGGGACTGACTCTGAGGAAGCAGTT